TTCTTGAAAGCAAACTTTAATACTCAATTACTTGTGCAATCTCACATAACTAGAGCAACAGATGTGACAGCAAAATAGATAATTGGGAAATTTTTTTTGCCAGTTATTACTCAGACAGATTTAGAATATATAAATTTAAAAAATTATAGACCATGTTAAAAAATAAAACAAAACTCCAAGGTTGGGGAGCTAGCTTGGTGGTCCAAGCGCCTGCCTGGCAAACTAAAGACCCAGGTTCAATCCCTGGTATTGAAAGCCATGCTAGCTCCAGAATCTCGGTATGCTGTGCCAGCCTCCAAAACTGGACATGGTGGCACATGCCTATAATGCTAGCACTGAGGAGGCTGAGACAGGAGGATCACTATGAGTCTGAGCTGCATAGTGAGACCCTTCTACCAAATACATACATAAAAGATTTTTAAAAAATAACTCCAGCAAGAAATGGGTAAACAGGCACTTCACAGAGGACAAAATGCAAATGGCCAACAAATGTATGAAAAAATGTTTTAAATGTTTGCATTTCTCTGACCATTAGAGAAATGCAAATTAAAACAATGCTAAGATTCCCCTTCCTTTACCAGAAAGAATGGCAATCATTAAGAAATACAAAGAAGGGGCTGGTCAGATAGCTCAGTGGACTAAAGTGCCTGCTTAGGCAGAGCACAGCTGCCAAGGTTCAAGCCCCAATATGCCATACTGGCCCCACCCCCAGGGCACACTGAGACTGGGCATGCTGGCTTGTGCCTGTAATCCCAGTGCTTGGAGGCTGAAATCAGGAGAATCGCTACATATCTGATCTACATGGTGAGACCCTATAGACCCTGTCCTAAATTCATAAAAAATAAATACAAAAAAAAAAAAAAAAAAAAAAAAAAAAAAAAAAAAAAAAAAAAAAATGCTGGAGAAGCTGTGGTGAAAAAGGAATTCTACATTGCTGGTGATAATAAACTTTTCATCAAGAGTAGAATAAACTTTCATTTACAGTAGTTGTAGTAGTAGTAGTAGGAGTCACCCCTACTAACCATAAAGACAAAGAAGGGTAATTTAAGAGTCATGGATCTAAAGAAAGCACTAAGTTGTTAACTCAAACTACATCTGTTGTGAAAACTGGCTCTAGGACAGAGTTAAGGAAAAGTCTGCTCACATTTTCCATCTGTTTGCAAGTCTTGATTACCAAGGATCTTCTTTCTTCCTTAACTTCGGGAAAAAATGACTATCTACACCTGGAACTCTGTAGCTAGCAACACAAATACAATGTGTGCACTTGTGCTTTAACAGGTGTAAATAACAATTCAGAAGCTCCAGGGATGAAAGGAATGCTTTTGCTATAGCATACAGCCTAAATACACAAAATACTTGATTTCTTACCCAGTAACACCATCTCCCCAACATCAATGTTATCTTCCTTCTCTGAAGTGGGTTGCTGAGCAGAATCCATGCTTACACATTCTTCTTGGGAGTGAAATACATTCAAATCCTCAAAGATCACCAGCTCCTAAAGAACAAGAGACCCCCTTTTTCTCAGTAAATGAGGTTCCTTGGCAGCTTTTCATTTCTCACTTAGTGGTAAGAAAAGATCAAGGAAAAGGATGATGAAAGGCCTCTATAAGAGCAACATAGACAACATAGCCAGGCTGAGATGAGCCAGAGCAAAGCAGAAGGCAAATGTCCTAGGAGGTTGATTCCCAAGAATGTGTTACACACAGATTGACCAGAAGAGAAGGTTCCCAAGCAGAGAAGGCGATGTACCTAGTGAGTGAAAAAACAAACCTACCTTGCAGTCAGCTTTAAAACACAGTGACACTGCTTCCTGTTTCTGCTGCACTCTTTCTCTGGGCACAAGTTTCACTAAGGAATGAGGTTGCACTGGGGAAAGAGGAAACTGTAGTTAGCAAAAAATTCTGACTCTAATACAGACACTGTCAGTACCTTCAGGCCAAGCTAGGCGTCATTCTTTGGCACGCAATTCACAGCTGTTTCTGCTCCTGTGAGCCCTGAGAGTTCAAGCCATAAGCCCTAGAATCTTGGATCTTTATGGGATCTCTTCAGTATAAACAAGATTCCCCTAAGAACTTTTCCAAATTTCTAACAAAGAGTCACTATATAGGAGTTAGGAGGAAGACAAGGTATAGAAACATCCTGAACAGGCATAAAATCACTAAAATCTCATATAAATTAGAGACAACATGATAATCCACCTGATTTCTATATTCTTTAAAAGATACTTCCCTCCAGAATGTTTGGGTAAAGTGAACAATACAAAAAGATGCACACTTCACATAGCTTTATGGCATACCATGTAAGCTGCAGCTTAAGAATAAAGCAGTAACATATTAAAACTGACTTTTCCTCAGTATTCACCATCTTAACTTTAATTCCTAACACGGAAGTTTACCTCAGTATCCAATATTACTCACTCTCTTCTCCTCTAGTGAAATAAGCATATACTTACCTCTGATCTGACGGCTTGAACTCATGTCCTTCATAATAACCAAGGTCTCCTTGACTTTCTGATTAGGCTGGACCAGGCTTGCTTTGGGCAAGAAGGTAAGGAAGTGCTCTAGCACCAGCTGGTGGATGGTCCTGGACCCACTCGTGGCATCTGGAAAGTGGTCTTGGCTCAGCTTGGAGTCTGGAGGAACTCTCAGTACAAAAGACTGCTTTGGCTTTGGGGTTATAGAAGCCAATTTTGTAGCCATTATGCCTCACAACAAAAGACCACACTCGTTTACTGGGGTCTGCTACAGCCACTTCTTACTGAAGGAAATCTGCCAGAGAGCCAAGCTGCAGATAGAGAGACCACTGATTAGCCACAAGATGCATGACTTCATTATACAGCTTGGGTGGCGAGGTCATACGAAATCTAAGCCAGAAAGACAGCTGGGGTAGGGAAGTCAAAAGTGAAATATAAGGTTCCAGAAACAGGATACACTTAGGCCTGAAAAGAAGATCCTGTGAATGAACACTAAATTCAAGAGCCAAACAGAAGGGAACACAGCCAGGTGAAGGCCAAAGGTCAACTCCCCGGGAAATATAAAGTGCAATATTCACTGTGAAGTTTAATTCATGTTTGTACAAACAGCAACGGATCAGCAGACATGGGAGCTGGGGACCAATCCGGATGGCGTCTGCTCAGAGGAAAGCTAGTAACTGAACCTGGCCACACTGCGCCCACTGCGCTTCGGCGCTCCTTCAGGTGCCCTTGTTAGCGGGGTCAGTTGTTGCCTCTCCAAGGGAACACACCCGAAGTCGCTTAAGGTGTCCACACATGGCTTGCTGAATTCTTTCTCCTGTGAACGTCCTACTGAGAGCGGCAAAGGGACGTCATACTAGGGCTCGCCAAACCAGTCCCACTCTAAGGCTTCTCAAGCCGGCCAAAGGGCAGCCTGACGCAAAGTTCAAGCGGTGGCACTGCCTGAGGCGCGGCCCCAGCTCCAGACCCACCCTCGCTCCTCAGCAACGGGGAGCGCTTCGCTACTCAGAAGCTGTCTCAGCCTGACACCCGACCCTTCAGAGTTCCTCACCTCGAGGAGCCTCTCCGCCTGAAAGGCCTGGGCTTCGAAAGAGACCTGAAAACGAGGAACTAGAGGCCTGCCGCTCGCCTCGCCCTCTAGAGCGCCCTTACTAGCTCCAGGTATTGGAAAGCACCGCCTCCAGTTGAGAGGACGCGCGGCCGCAATGCCTTCTGGGAGGCCGGGCGCCTCCGTTTCTGTGACGTCACGCCCGGTGATTCATTTCCGGCGTGAAAGCCTGGTCTCCCCGGTTGGAGCGAACAGTGTATGTCTTGACAAAGACAAAGCTCGAGGTCACAGGCATTATTTTCGAGAAAAGGCAGGTCAAGTCTGTGAAAGCCTCATTCTCCGTTGGTCAGCCTCGAAAACAAGGAGAAAGTGGGTACCAGTCCTTCACGTGCTGGCAGCAGCCGTGTAGCCAGTCTGGCTCCAGGTCTCTCTGGGAAATGTAGTTTGGTTTCAAATAGCCAATAGGAAAACCAGCGGGCTGAGGCGGTCGGGAGCGAGGCAGGTTTGAGGAGCAACCGGAAATGGGTTCTTTCTGAGGTGCCAAGGTCTGCGCGAGCCCCCGTGGTGCCAGTCCCTGCACCCCGGAGAGGGCCGGTATTGCTTAGATGATGAAGGTGTCATTTCCATCATCCACGGGTGCTGAGGGCCTCGCAGCCGTACCTTAGTGAGCAGCTATGCGAAGCAGAGGGCAAAGCTAGGGGACAACCCCCCCCCTCAGTTTACCAACTAATACGCTGCCGCCTGGTCCTGCCGCCTTGCATAAGAAATCGTACCTAGTCTGACATCCGCAGACTGTCTCCATTCTCGATTTCAGCCTCTCACAGAGAGGTTAAATAGGATCTTTATTGTTTTCATACTGGGTTTGTTGGAGTTGGGACAGCCACTGGGCAGGTTTTGCCTTATTCCGCTATGTAAGAACCCCTGGCAGAATAACATAAGTAGAAATAAAAATTAAAGCTTTTCTCGACGCGAATATAGCTGACTCACTTAACTACGGTTTAAAATATGTTATAAAGGATGGCGATTGTGGAGAACACAAAAAATTGGAAAATACCTTTCCAGATAGCAACATGTACTAAAAAAACCTTTACTGAAAGCAATATGTTTTGAATTATGAGTAAATAATCGGAACAATAGAAAACAATTCTTGCAAATATTGAATATATGTGGATTTCAAAGGGTAGAACTGCAATTTATTGGGAAATAAATATTGCTACCAATTAAAATTGTATATTCGGGGCTGGGGAGATGGCTCAGTGGTCTAAAGCACCTACTTAGAACAAGCTTAGCAAAACAAAGGGACCGAAGGTTCAATCCCCCAGCACCACATGCCAGCCAGCCCCACCCCCTGGTGGGCTGAGCTGGCCACACACACACAC